TAACTAATTCACTTAATGATTAACTGTAACTTAATGACTTCCTGTAACTTAATGATTTCTTCTTACTTTACTAACTTCACGAATCAACTGTAACTTACTTAATAATCAATGCTTGCTCCAAATTACATCGTTTATATATCTTTTCATGGTTCCAGAATGATTGGGAAAGAAATCATGTTCTAAGCTTTTCATCTCATCCATAGATGAAAGTTCTGGAATCGTCTACTATGCAAATAGGGCTAATTGTCTTATGTATTGACGTTTTCCAGAAAATTCTGGTCAGAATTCTATAGACATTTAGGCTTGACAGATCAGAATTCACTATTATATATATATATACAGGGTGGTGAATCGGCAAACGGTCCATAGGAAACTCAATGGTAAATTCTAAATTGTTGAATTCCTGCTTCCCTAATTATTTTACACCAAAAGTCATGGGAAACTATTTGTAGAGGACTCAAATATGTACCGAAAACAACTGTTAAAATTATTCTACGACTTAAACGTATTCCAAAATTTTGCTAAAATATAATACATTTTTCTGTGAAAAAATGTGTATTACGTGTTGCGTTTTGTCATATTATTGTTTCTGATATTTGACAATATTTAAATCAATTATATTATATTTATCTATGATTTAAATGGCCAAAATTTTATGATTTAATGTTTAAAAAAAATTAAGTTGATTAAAAAATGTACTCAGTTGAAGAGAAAAAAGCAATAATAAAAATGTTTTCTTCATGTTTTATTATAATATTTGTTATAGTTTTATGTTTAGAAATAATCATATATTATTATTAGGAATAAAGATCACAGTAACAGTATATTGGAATTCATTGAATAGTTGTATAACTTAACTTAACATGGAATTAAATTTTAGTGAATTAGAATACCTATCTTACGTTAAATAAAGATCCGGTAGTGGCAGGAAAAGGTTCGCGCCGTTATGCGATTTTTCGTCAACTGAGTACATTTCATTATATTGATCGATTTGTAAACAATATTATTTATTGTTCACAAAGTAATAATGTTCAGTAGTAGTAGTATTTAGTAAAATTCATTGTTTATAATTTAATCATAAAATAAAAAGATTGACAATTCAAATTGTCAAACATCTGACATTAATAATGATAAAACAAACACATCCTAATATATATTCTTGCATTACGTGTGGCCTAACTTTTAGGGGTGGTCTGAAAAATGTATCACATTTTTTTAAAATTTTGAAGTACAGTTGATTTGTAGAACGGTTTTAACATGTGTTTTTAATTCAGATTTTAGTCCTCTACAAATAGTTTTTTATGACTTTTGATCTAAAATAATTAGGGAAGCAGCAATTCAACAATTTAAAATTTCTCATTGAGTTTCCTATGGTCCGTTTGACGATTCACCACCCGGTATATATATATATATATATATATATATATATATATATATATATATATATATATATATATATATATATAAACTAATACTAATATACTACTATTTTAAATCCATAATTATATTTAAATTAAAATTCCAAACTAATAAATATGTCAAATATGTAAAAATGTCAAATAACACAGTGTATATTTGTTTGCCTATGCACAAGGCTCACTTGAATATATTTATTTATAGAATAAAATAAAATAAAAACTTTTAAAACTTAATCCTATGCTAAATAGTATTCGCTAGTATATATAGTATGTATATATAATATATAACTTATAAATTATTTCTTTAACCACTATTTAAGTAAGTTTATTAATTAAACATCATAATATTACTATGCTAATTTCTTGTATACTATCTAATTATTCCAATATATATATATATATATATATATATATATATATATATATATATATATATATATATATATATATATATATATAGAGTGTGTATAACGACGCTAAGAATACAATTCTTTGGAGGGTAAAGAATAGCTTTGCACAAGAGTGATGTAGTGGGGAAGCCCACCTGCACAGCCTTTAGCCAACATATTAAGAATACTGGACACATTGCTAACTATGAAAATGTGCAAGTACTAAAGAGGGTTGACAACCAATTTAAGAGAAACTTCATAGAAATGGGCTACATCCATAACTGCAGCTCTTCTATGAACTGTAAGAAAGATGTTGATTTTCATATTCCTTTCTACTTCAACAGGACTTAACAAGATGTAACAAACTGGAGAATGTAGGGAACTTATCATAACATGCATAGATTACCTACCTGTACTGGAGAAAAGACTTCATTTCCCTGCTGATTATGTTTCCTTGGGTTCTTTCTTTCCATATCCATGAGGTCAAACGTGAAAATTATAACCTCGTTACATATGACACCCGGATATTGACAGAAATCAGAAATATGTCATCAAAAAAGATGAATAATTCTTCTTTTCTACCTTTAACATGAAGTTGCAGTTTTTGTAGGTTGTAAATTTTAGATTTTTTGTTGTGTTTGTATTTGAAAAAATACCCTGTTGTGTTGTAATGTTTTTATTCAAAGTTTTAAATGTATTTTTTAATATTTTTAACATGTTTGTGACAGTGTTCTTCACCACTAGGACCAACTGAACATTTTCAATGTAGGTTTTTAAATGTTGATTTCCACCACTTGTACTAAAATAGGTTTTCCATTTAGGTGCTGATGAAGGTGACAACATATCACCGAAAATTTCACATTTAGAATAAAGTTCTACACCAAACTGGCTTATACCATCTCTAGCTGATCCTTGTTTTGACGCTTTCCCGAAAGTTACCCTCCAAAGAATTACATATATATATATATATATATATATATATATATATATATATTATATATATATATATATATATATATATATATATATAATTCTTTGGAGGGTAACTTTCGGGAAAGCGTCAAAACAAGGATCAGCTAGAGATGGTATAAGCCAGCTTGGTGTAGAACTTTATTCTATATGTGAAATTTTCGGTGATATGTTGTCACCTTCATCAGCACCTAAATGGAAAACCTATTATAGTACAGTCGTGGAAATCAACATTTAAAAACCTACATTGAAAATGTTCAGTTGGTCCTAGTTGTAAAGAACACTGTCACAAACATGTTAAAAATATTAAAAAATACATTTAAAATTTTGAATAAAAACATTACAACAACAGGGTAGTTTTTCAAATACAAACACAACAAAAAGTCTAAAATTTACAACCTACAAAAACTGCAAATAGAAAAGAAGAATTAATCTTCTTTTTTGATGACATATTTCTGTCAACATCCGGGTGTCATATGTAACGAGGTTATAATTTTCACTTTTGCACATCACAACCACATGGATACGAAAAGAAAGAGCCCTAGGCAACATAATAAGCAAGGAAATGAAGTCCCCTCTAAAGCACAGGTAGGTAATCTATGCATGTCATGATAAGTTCCCCACATTTTCCAGTTTGTTACTTCTTGTCAAGTCCTGTTGAAGTAGAAAGGAATAAATACAACTTAAGTTTTCAACATCTTTCTTACAGTTCATAGGAGAGCTGCAGTTATGGATGTAGCATATTTCTATGAAATTTCTCTTAAATTGGTTGTCAACCCTCTTTAGTACTTGCACATTTTCATAGTTAGCAGTGTGTCCAGTATTCTTAATATGTTGGCTAAAGGCTGTGCTGGTGGGCTTCCTCACAACATCACTCCTGTGCAAAGCTATTCTTTTTGAGAGTTTCTGGCTGGTTTGACCGACATACACTTCTGAACAAGAACCACATGGAATAGAATACACTACATTGAAGTTATCCAGTTTTTTAACTCTTTCTGTCAGGTGAGTAAAGTATGTCCCTAATCTTTTGTAAACAGAATTTGCTATCACTATGTTGAACTGTCTGAAAAGGTTTGTGATCTGTGGTGATAAACCTTTGATGTACGGCAATCTCCCATAGAACACTTCTACTGTTTCTCCTTCTAATGTTTGTCTTTGCTGTGTTCTAACTGTTGGCATGTAATGAACTGTAAGAAAGATGTTGAAAACTTAAGTTGTATTTATTCCTTTCTACTTCAACAGGACTTGACAAGAAGTAACAAACTGGAAAATGTGGGAAACTTATCATGACATGCATAGATTAACTACCTGTGCTTTAGAGGGGACTTCATTTCCTTGCTTATTATGTTGCCTAGGGCTCTTTCTTTTCGTATCCATGTGGTTGTGATGTGCAAAAGTGAAAATTATAACCTCGTTACATATGACACCCGGATGTTGACAGAAATATGTCATCAAAAAAGAAGATTAATTCTTCTTTTCTATTTGCAGTTTTTGTAGGTTGTAAATTTTAGACTTTTTGTTGTGTTTGTATTTGAAAAACTACCCTGTTGTTGTAATGTTTTTATTCAAAATTTTAAATGTATTTTTTAATATTTTTAACATGTTTGTGACAGTGTTCTTTACAACTAGGACCAACTGAACATTTTCAATGTAGGTTTTTAAATGTTGATTTCCACCACTGTACTATAATAGGTTTTCCATTTAGGTGCTGATGAAGGTGACAACATATCACCGAAAATTTCACATATAGAATAAAGTTCTACACCAAGCTGGCTTATACCATCTCTAGCTGATCCTTGTTTTGACGCTTTCCCGAAAGTTACCCTCCAAAGAATTGTATTCTTAGCGTCGTTATACACACTCTATTTTATATATATATATATATATATATATATATATATATATATTATATATATATATATATATATATATATATATATATATATATATATATATATATAATATATATATATATATATATAATATAATATAAAATAAAAAAAATAATTCTATACTTTCACATCCTAATCAACTTAGTACATAATTTTGTGTAATCATGTAGAAATTCATATTCAAATAATACATCGTTGCAAAGGCGATTAGGAGACCTTTCCAATGAGGTGTCCCGTGACCTCGTGTCCGGTTTACCAAACAAATGGCTTCAAAAAAACCATATATTATCCTTATTGATGTCACCATTATATTAAAGTTAAATTTTTTTCAGGTACTAATGTGTCACGAAGTTGTTGATACAAAACCTTTTAGTATAAATCCTTTTCGTATGTTGCCGAGACGTAAAATGGTCGAAGATCTGTTTCAGTCGGAGTCAATAGATAAGAAAAATAAGCACCTTTTATATAAAATTAATTTTATTAATCGAAATGGTGTAAGTAGATCTGGTGTTACGAAACCTATTCCTACCCTAATCAGTAGAAAACTCGTTTTTTATTTATTACACTCTTTCCGTATTCTTTATATAAATGCAAAACATTAACCCTAGAACCACAACGTAAAGGAACTGGAACATGATAAATAAAAAAAATGTATTTGGTATTATTTATAAATAAGAGTATGATTAACAAATAAACAACGAAATAGAAATAACCATTTTTTTAGTAGTAAAAATATCATTATAAACAAATCTGACCAATACAAAATATTTAAATCAAGATTAAGATTTACATATTTCACAAATGCTAAACTGATATTCTGCACATATATTTTTTCCACAATGAATACAAATCTGGCGTTCTTTACGGTCACGAGATCTTGGACAAAAACCATAACGACGTAAACGCTTTTGTAGCTCTTGTGGTAGTTCGTCAGGGTATCCAAGATATTGTCTTAACTTTTTTGGCAGTCGGTTATTTTCTACTCTTTGCTTCATATAATCTTTCACCAAAGAATCAGTTAAGTTTTTGAGAAAAGTAGAACGGACGTTACAATTCGGTAATGTTTGAAATTGATGTAACACAAAATAATTAATTACAGCAGCATCTAACATTCCATATAGAATCCTTAAAGGCCACCTTCTCGTCTTTCGAGCAACTGTCATCGAATGACGGAGTTGATCAAACGTATCGACCCCACCTTTAGTCGAATTGTAGAACATTGTAATTTCTGGCTTTTTTGTTTCTGCATTTATTTCGTCCCCAAAATTCATAGAACTTATAAGTAGAACGCATTTTTCTTTTCTGGGATACTAAAGTTAAATCTTTTGAAAAAGCAAACGCTTATGAGGGGATTTTACTGGGGATTTTGCAGAGAGTTCCTACCATGGTAAGTTTATTTTCAAGAAGTTTTTTTGCTAATGAGATCGATGAAAACCAGTTTTCCATTGTTATCTTACGATTAGTTCCTGCTATTGTTTTCGATAGTTTCATAGCATATTGCGTTGGAATAGAACCATCTTTAGGCATACTGTTTGGATCTTTTCCTGTATAAGGAATTGCAGAACACATACAATTAGTTTTGGCTTCGCATATCATAATAATTTTAATACCATATTTGTCTGGTTTGCTAGGTAAGTACATTTTGAATAGGCAGCGACCCCTAAAGTTTAATAGCTGCTCATCTATAGTTACATATTCATAAGGAGTATACAAGCTTTCGCAGTTTTCTATAAATAGATCCCATATTTCTCTTATTGATGCGAATTTATCGACAGTTTTTCTTTCTGCTCGAGTTGTTTTGTCATCAAAATGCAAGCAGTTTAAAAGAAATTCTAACTGGTTTTTAGTCAGTGTATTGAAAAATATTGCTAAGCCAAATTTTTCTGACCAGATGTCTTCGAGGGAAAGATGTGCTTGTTTTAGTAGTCCTGCAAACTATAAAAGCCCAAACAAAGCCATAAGTTCTGCTTTATGTGTTTTTTTGTATGTATCATTGTTCCGAAGTAAATTTTGATTTTTGAATTTCTATTTCTGTATTTGTGCTGTTGACAATTATCTTTAAAATCTCATCGGTAAAAAATAGCTGCCATATTTCTTTCAAGCTTTTACTGTTTTTACGTTTTTGTTTTGGGACAGGCAAATATACAACTAAATTTTTTGTCGAGGTCCTCGTTCTCTTCGAAATTAATGGCTGCGAGTACCACTTAAAACTATTACGAGCAAAAAATCCAGGACGGTCATCTGTAGCATCTGTTTCCATAGCTTCCTCATTATTGTCTGTTCCCTCCTGTAATTCTCTAATAGTACATTCATCAGATGCAGCATCGTTGATTAAAACATCCTCGTCTTCGCTATCGTTTTCATCTAAGAACTCCTCGTATGCCAGATCGTCATTCTCATCTTTGTTTAACTCTTTCCAAAGCTCTGTTTCAGTAAGAGGACGCCGTCGTTCATACTGCAGTTGGAATGCACATCGTTTTAAATTTTTAATAGCCATTTTCCTACAATAAAGTATTATTTAAACAATCAAAACAAATAATAATAAATTACTATTTATAACTGGGAATAAGCCACATTAAAGATAAAAATACATTTATTGACGTTTCAATTTCCAATTCGGAAATCGTTCTCAAAATACAAATAGTAAATTAAACAAATTTTGTTTTTTGTTACATAGTGAAAAAATTCTTCTGATAATTTAATTTTATCTGACTCATTTATATTGACAATTCAGACATACATTATGCATTTTAAAGTAGACGACTTTAAAATGATATTGCCAATATTGTTGAGTTGCGCTCCTGGGACGACTTTACTTATAAGATAGTTCATTCGATTACATGAAATCAACTTTAACTTGAGAATATCCGTCAGAAAAAATCATAGCATGTAATTCGTCTTTAAAAAGACAAACACATGACATGATGACAGTAAAATTCTCCTGTTAGTGATTCCATAGTAAATTATGAGGGAAAAACCAGGAAAAAAACCTCATAATACTATCCCGACATTGTAAGTATTTGTTCGTGAATTTAGTTTACCTTCAACAAACATCAAAATTCTGATTTTATGTTACGTTATTTAAAAAACATAAATGATGTATCCTCTATATGTTACTGACTTACTAATACTGGTATTTTCTTATTAATAACTTCCTCTTTCAATATTGGTAACCAGATCCTACTACATTCTGCCGAGGAATTTGCGACACAATTGGCCTCATTTAGCATAATTAGAGCCGCTTCTTTGATTTTTCTTTTTTTACCATCCGTTTCTTTTAGGACTATATTTGAATTATTCCATTGAACTCTATGTTCATTATCCCATGCGTGTTTACATATTTGAGATCTATAATATGTAAACATATAGATCTCAAATATGTAAACACGCATGGGATAATGAACATAGAGTTCAATGGAATAATTCAAATATAGTCCTAAAAGAAACGGATGGTAAAAAAAGAAAAATCAAAGAAGCGGCTCTAATTATGCTAAATGAGGCCAATTGTGTCGCAAATTCCTCGGCAGAATGTAGTAGGATCTGGTTACCAATATTGAAAGAGGAAGTTATTAATAAGAAAATACCAGTATTAGTAAGTCAGTAACATATAGAGGATACATCATTTATGTTTTTTAAATAACGTAACATAAAATCAGAATTTTGATGTTTGTTGAAGGTAAACTAAATTCACGAACAAATACTTACAATGTCGGGATAGTATTATGAGGTTTTTTTCCTGGTTTTTCCCTCATAATTTACTATGGAATCACTAACAGGAGAATTTTACTGTCATCATGTCATGTGTTTGTCTTTTTAAAGACGAATTACATGCTATGATTTTTTCTGACGGATATTCTCAAGTTAAAGTTGATTTCATGTAATCGAATGAACTATCTTATAAGTAAAGTCGTCCCAGGAGCGCAACTCAACAATATTGGCAATATCATTTTAAAGTCGTCTACTTTAAAATGCATAATGTATGTCTGAATTGTCAATATAAATGAGTCAGATAAAATTAAATTATCAGAAGAATTTTTTCACTATGTAACAAAAAACAAAATTTGTTTAATTTACTATTTGTATTTTGAGAACGATTTCCGAATTGGAAATTGAAACGTCAATAAATGTATTTTTATCTTTAATGTGGCTTATTCCCAGTTATAAATAGTAATTAATTTACAATGCCACAAGAAAATAGCTTCAAAATAATAATAAGTTTAGCTTACCGCTAAATATTATAATGTAAACCACAACGTGGGGTCAAAACCAATTCAAATCCTTATTATCCGCGAAAACGAAAATCAGATCAAAAAATACTTACACATACCAGAACCTACAAACGAGAACTGAAATACGTGGAATTTTAACCCAGTGACTTAACTGCGCGCAAGCGTGCTTAAGTGTACACCTATATTGGAACCGTATTTTTCCCGATCCGATATCGGGCGACGTCGGATTGAAAACAAAGTCAAGGTATTAAATCATAGAGCCTATACTGCTTCCATGGCGAAGCAGTATAGGCACATGGTACAATGAATGGTATAAGCATTTAATACCTTGAGTTTGTTTTCAATCCGACGTCGCCCGATATCGGATCGGGAGAAATACGGTTCCAATGCATGATACTATAACAAAACATTAAACTGTTGTTATAGTATCATGGTTCCAATGCATCGAGCAAAAAGACAAAAGAGGGAATCTAATCCTTATGAAAAGGAGACCAAAAAAGTGGCCTCTAATGGCGGACATATCCGGAAATGCGAATGCGCCATATTTAAATTTTCCGACACTTGTTAAGAGTAGCTATAAAATATTTTTCAGAATGTGTCTTAGACGAGAAAGTTTTTTTTTTTATTTAATTTAACGTGCTTGTGACAGCTTCGGCCATTAGCACGAGGCACTGTTTACAATTATATATAAGGTACAATTACATATTATAATATACTATAGTTATATATTATTTAGTAAGTTTTCTAGCTTTAGGAACTGGATAGCCGTGATGACTTGGCTCTGGTTCGATAATATATCTGTGATGTCGTCCTTCATGCCCAGTTCTTGGCGTCGTTTATTGTAATGAGGGCAGTCCACAAGGATGTGTAGAACGCTTTGTGGAGATTGGCAATAGTGACAGATTGGCTCAGGTGTAGAATTCATTAGGTGACCATGTGTAAATCTGGTGTGACCGATACGCAATCTTCTGGCAACTACCATCTCATTTCTAGTTATACCAGGGATAACGAACCGCTCAATCGTCTGATCTATTTGGTGTAAAAATGTAGTGGATTGGTTCCAATGATTCTGCCAGTAATTTCGAACGAGTTTCTTTATACTAGTTTTTAGGTCACTGGCGATTTGTATATTACGTACTATACAATTGGATACAGCAGCTTCTTTGGCAAAGCGATCGGCGTTGTCGTTACCCGTAATCCCGATGTGGGAGGGAATCCATATGATAGTGATATAGATGTCGTGGATGATAAGATTTTGGTAAGTG